CCTGGACGGAGGCACTGTTATCCTCAGCAAAGGTCTTGAGGGTAATAGCGCGGGCCGCCTCCCAAGCAGCATTGAACTTCTCAACGTGCGTCTTGACATCGGCAAGACCAGCGAAGCGGCGCCACTGCCAGTCCGCGGCGACATCAGTGCTGAGGAGACGGTCCCAGGTCTCCTTGAGGGTGGTGTATTCGTCGCGGACGAAACCCCAGAACTGGGAACCGGTGCTCTTCAGCACGGTCAGGCCTCTGATAGAGCTTTTGATGTCGATGCCCTTTCCTTCGATGACGTCGACTTGCACGTTTCGCGTCTCGGAGCCAGGCTTGATAAACGAGTGCGGGTGTGGCTTGCCGTCGATCTCCATGCGTACCCAGCGGTGGGTAACGATGTTAACGTGCGCCGCGTGGATGTGGCTGTACTTCTCGATGAAGTGTGTGCCCAGGATCGAGCCGAACAGCTCCGGTGGGGATACGGGGTTCTGCTTTGCTGTGATGAAGACGGTGTTCTTGATTGAGTCGGTTGCGACAACGACGCTGTTGTCGGCCTTGGTGTAACTGTGGGGACCTTTAGGTTAGCTTCAACTTTTTTCTCTCAATAAAAGATGTCGCTAGACTTACGAGGTCTCGATATCACCCTCCAGCAAGACGCATACGGTCATCTCCACGACAGTCTGGATGCCGGTCTTCTCATCGCGGTCCACCTTGCACACGCGGACATTGTCCTTGCCGTAGCGAGCAGCTGCCAATACGCTCATCTTGAATTTTAGGAGGGTGACTTGGGAATGTAGAAGAGAAGAAGAAGTAGATTGTGAAAGTTAAATGATTGTATTATCTAGCAGACCAGATCAGTATTTATCTGGAATGCATATTGGCTGATCCAGAGAGCATCGGGCACCTCCGATGGCCGCGATGGCCGCGAGTGGCCGCTCTCTCCTCCAAATCCCGATCTTATCAGTTGGCGATTGGACAGCTCATTTTCTTCCTACCTTTATGTAGCTATGGCCTGATGCTTCTATGCCATTCTCACCTATCACCATCATATGTTGTACCGAAGGAGAAGAAAAAGACAATTTCCTTTCCCCCAGACTTTCGGGCCACGAGCCGAGTGCAGTGACAGTGGAGATCTCACATTCCCAATCCCGAACTTCCGACCTCCGACCTCCGACCACTCTGCGGACTTCAACTGCAAATGCCTAGATTATTTTCAAATCCCTAACATCCCTAACGTTTTGTATGCCATCCGGAGACCTCCACTGCGGACCGGCGAGCTGCGAGCCATGAAAGACGAAGTTTCGGCGATAAACACTCAGCGCTGACATGATATTCTTCCTCTGTTGACAATTGCCATAATAGGCATGCGCAGTGACCTCACTGTCGGTGGTACAGTGTGGGGAGAAACATGTGACAGTCTGTACGTTGACTCGCCTTGATGACGAGATATCGCGGCAGTTTTGTTCTCTTTTGTTCATTTAAGTACTTTGTACGGAATACACCGAAGGTATTTCAGGGTTAATGCTGTCCTACTTCGATCGTCCAGGGTAGCTTGTATATATATCCTCCGTGGTGTATACTAGGTTGTTCATGCAACTCGTATCAGAAGGCAATATATATCTTTAGAGGGTAGTATATATCCTCCCAAACAACTTACGCGTACAAACACAATCAGAGCGCTTATTCCCGTTGAACAACATCCGGAGTCAACACTGACATCTTCGCCAAGACTCGGCATGAAAGAGCCTCAATACCCACAGAGCACAAGGGAGTACCTATACATACGCCGCATAGGGGAAATGCGTGGCCCACGCCTCCTATCACAGCATGTGCAAGTGTCAAGCACACTGACCTATCTAGCGGTCAACGATGATTGCCGTGAGGGATTTGATTTGCTTCTATATGAGTGACAATATTACCCGAGATCATCGTGTGCTCAACCTTGCCAACGCTCCGACCAAAGCCAAGTTTCATCTCTAGACAGGGAATAATCAAGATATTTAACTATGCAGTCCCTCTCGTACATACTGGACCCCAATATATGTCCAATCCTCAACACCCATGCCCAGAATGACAGTATGTAGGATATATATCAGATCCAGAAAGCAGATTGGATTCTTTTTTTGGAATAAATAATTCACAGAGTGCATTGAATGGCACGCCTGGTCCCCAGCTTAGATTGCAATTGTCGAATCGGAGGGTGTGGTGGGTGCCAATGCTGGTGGTATCGTCTGCAACGTCGATCTGACGAATCTCGCATGCAGTGCACACTTCTAAGCCATATCAATCAGCATAATATCCCGCGATTGGGTAAACTGACGAGTAAAAAGCGGGCGAGGTCTATCGGGTTCTCAGTCAAGGCTGGGCTGATTCTTTGTTCAACAGGGAATCGTCACTTGCCTATTACGTCCGCCACTTATCGAGTAATTTCTGATTTTGTTGATTCTCAGCTTTCCCAGAACTTCCAATTAGTCACACCTCATATTAGTCGGACCTTTTATTAGTGATTCGGATTCGCGAGGAACTTCTTTGTTTCCATCTGCAGACAACCGCTCGCGTTTCGGATAATCATGACTATAAGCGATCTAATAAATCTCAAGAGAGAGCCAGGGAAAAATCGTGCTCCCTGGCTGTTGAAGGTTCGTTCCTCAACGGGTTTTATTATCGGTGCAGTCTGGATGTCCACCTTCACGGTACGTGAGAGTCTGGTCCTCTATTCTTCTAGGTCCCCAACTGACTGAGACTCAACTGGAATAAGGAATTCCTCCTATATGCCATGGTAAGCAAGATCTTACTTATGATGTGAATTGGAACCAGAATCAACGAACGACAGATAGTCCCTGTGATGCCAACAGCACTCGTCACCCGAGCCGGAGTCGGATTCGAGCACCGTATGTCTCACAGCTTTCCCTAGCAAATTATCGCATACTCACCTTTAAACAGGAGAATACTGGGTCAGTGTCCTTCTCATGTGTGAAGCAGGCATGTCTCTATTGATGTGTCCCATATTCGGCTACCTGGTCGACCGCGCACGCACACGTCGACTACCCTTCATCAGTGCCCTGGTCATACTAACCGGCTGTATGCTAATCCTACAACTGGCGCATTCCATCGCTGCGTTTGTCGTAGCTCGTCTACTCCAAGGCATCGCAGGTGCTTTAGTAGTGGTAGCGGCATTCGCTCTCATCGGCGACGCTGTGTCCCAGGAGCATCTCGGTCAAACGATAGGGTATCTTGGCTCCGCGATTGCCTCGGGCTTCTTGCTGGGTCCGTTCCTCGGAGGCGTTGTGTACAATTCGGGTGGGTACAATGCTGTGTTCTGGTTTGCGTATCCTATTCTTGCGCTTGACATGGTTATGCGGCTGGTTTTGATCGAGAAGAAGGTCGCTGCTCAGTGGACTGGAGAATCAAACGGGAACCTGGAGTCGGATCTGGAGACGGCGCAGCGTATTCCCTCTGTCGGTTCGCGCGAACCGCAGGTCATCCAAGGAAGGAAAGGGCTCGTTATCTTCCGGATGCTCAGACAGCGCCGAGTGTTGATCTCTTCGTGGGCGCTCCTCTCGCAGGGAATCTTGCTTTCTGCTTTTGATGCGGTACGTACCAGACTCGACCTTTTCAACATGAAGAGCTAGCTAATCACATCCAGACTCTCCCCATCTTCGTTGAAACGACATTTGGCTGGAACTCCCTCGGCATGGGACTAATCTTCCTCCCAATGGCCGTCCCGGCCTTCTTCGAGCCGCTGTTTGGCGGCTTCACCGATAAGTTCGGTGCCCGCTTTGTAGCCTTCGGCTGTTTCGTTCTTCTCTCGCCCACCCTCATCTGTCTCCGGTTCGTCCAGACCAAATCGAATGAACAAATCGCTCTGCTGGTATCCTTACTCTTCCTTGTCGGTGTTTTCATCCACGCCTGTGCGCCAGCCATGTACGTTGAGACGCAGCGTGCACTCACGGCAATGGAACTCAAAAACCCAGGAATACTCGGATCTAAGGGTGCTGTGGCGCAGGGATTCGGACTGCAGAGTATGTGCCAGTTTGCCGGTGTGTTCTTCGGGCCACTTTGGGGTGGATTCGTCGAGTATCGTTTCGGATGGGGGGTGATGACGGGTACATTGGGAGTTTTCGTAGCGCTCACTGCGCTTCCGATGCTGTGGTTAGGCGAAACCGAGGAGGAGAGGGCTTTAATGAGCTGAATGAGGGTTACGCAGTTAGGCAGCACTTTTTTCAAATAATTTTTTTCAACGCAGGTATCAGTTCTGCCTACATGTAAGTAGGTCACTTCGGAACTATACGTTGCACCTGGATTACCTAGGTGTAGTAGCGGCTTTTACAAGGTGCTCATCTTTGATATACTTGTATACCTAGAATCTTTGGAATCTTTTGTGTTTCATAGCCTATCATAGCTGCAATATATGAGTCTGAGTTTGTGTCTGCCGATTTATCAAGGTATCCTTTAGAGGCTGAGAAGTGAGGAGTTGCGCGAGTGAGGCATTTGATTCTATACAAGTTTATAGAACATATACCAGGAGAAATCAGACACCAATGTATTTACATAGTGTTACCTTTAGTTAGATCCAGGAACATATGATAATTCCAATTCCTCTACAGCCAACCGAAGTTCAAAAACGGTTAGATCCATATAAAAAGCCCCACTACGGTGTTAAGCTTATCGCCTGGACTATCCCAATGCGGCAGCTCAGTCGTTCTCTTCCTTTTAACTTGTTTAAGCTCATCTTCGACATTCCTGTCGTCTCCTCATATTAACCCCATTGGGATCTTCCCTTCAGCATAAATAACCCCCAATTCGCCCTGACCATTCTTCCCATGGCACTTCTTCACTCTATCCAACGACTAAGACAAGCGTCTACCACTGTCAGTACATCAGTCTGTCAATCGTCGCATTCTGTACCACACACATGTGATCTAACACATCCAGATCTCCTTAGCTCGACCTCATCTACCGTTCATATACCAATACAAATCCCCATTCCAACCAACCCACCCAACAGCAAGCATGCCGCCCACCAACAAAACCTGGCACATCCAGCACCGCGCCCTCTCACTCCAAGCAGACAGAACAAAGCAATACATCTGCCCATCAGAAACAAGCACCCACCTAGCAACCCTCCTAAGCTTCCCCTCCGAATGCTCGACCCTCCCGGAGCTGTACGCCAAAACAAGCAACGAGATAATCTCCCTCGCGACAACAATCGCAGCCTTCGAACCCGTGCGCCTCTACGCCCGATCCGAAGACATCCCTCAAGCCCAAGCCCTCCTCGACAAACAACCCCAGCACCGGTCCAACATAACCCTCATCGCAGCGCCAACAAACCACTGCTGGATCCGCGACACAGGCCCCGTCTACGTCCACAGCGCCGACCCAGCAGACAAAACCCGCTACGCCATCGACTTCCACTTCTGCGAATGGGGCCACAAAACCACAGAATACATCTACGGCGCCAGCGCCTCGCCCGCAGCAGCAGAGGCCCTGGAAACATCCCCGCAATATGCCGAGTGGCCGGTCATGGACGCGCAAGCCATGAGCGAGAACACGGCGTTCGCGGGCGTCGTGCTGGATCTCGAGAATGCGGGTGCGGACACGGTGGCGGATGTCGTTGTGCGGGTGGAGACGGATATCCGGCTCGAGGGCGGGGGTATTGAAGTCGACGGCGAGGGGACGTTTATGGCGACTGAAAGTAGTATTATTGGGGATGCGCGCAATCCCGGACTCGGGAAGGCGGAGATCGAGGCGGAGCTTGGTCGGTTGTTGGGTGTTAGTACGTTCGTTTGGTTTCCCGGGAGGGTGGGGCTTGATGTTACGGATTTGCATGTTGATGCTGAGGCGAGGTTTGTGAGGCCTGGGGTTGTGGTTGTTTGTCGTCCGCATGAGAAGGCGGAGAAGGTGCGTTGGGAGGTCTATTCGGAGATTCGGGCGGTCTTGGAGAGATCTACTGATGCGCGTGGTCGGCGCTTTGAGGTTCATGATGTTGTTGAGCCGGATCCGAGCTTCGTTAAGGGAGGTTTTGCTGGGGAGGAGGAGGCGTCGGCGGCGTCGTATGTGAACTTTTACTTTGTTAACGGTGGGCTGGTTATCCCGGCGTTTGGGGATCCTGAGGCTGATGAGAAGGCCTTTGAGTTGCTGAAGAGTCTGGTTCCTGGGAGGGAGGTTCGTCAGGTTGAGGTCAATGCCTTGCCTAGGACTGGAGGTGTGCTGCATTGTGTTACACAGCAGGTGGTGTGAGGGGACTAGCTAGCTGCCTAGGTAAATATACAGAATCTCATTTTTAGAAACGGTCAAGGAAGAATATTCAAAGATGTGATATTGATAGTGATGTTGATATTGAAAAAGCATGTTTTTGACCATAGACTTGCTAGTGTGGAAAATAAACAGAACGGAAAAAGAGAAAGGAGAGAGAAGTCGAAACGAGAGACTAAACAAACCCCATTCCCACGCAGATCATAATTCATGTAGAATAGTGTAAGATGTATGTCTTTTTTGGGCTTCTTTTGTACCAGCAAAATGGCCAGTAAGAAACCAAGATCCCCAATTGGAACCTGATATCATCCTCCAATCCAGATTCCAGACCTAGACCGATATCAGAGAACGCAGGGAAGAAACGAAGAAGGAAAAGAAAGAGGAGAACACCGTCCCAGGACGCCTGATAATGCCGCGCCACGAAGCAGAGAGAACGCGGACGAGAAGAGGCCAAAAAAAGAAAGACGCATAGAATCCGTGATGGAGCAGTGTCAGATATCCACATCCGATCGAGCATCCGATTGCAGTCCCAGGATGATAGCCAGGACATATGAGAGCCAGTCAACCCAGAACAGACCGAAAACCAAACCAAAAGCCCCATAAGACCCTCTCGAGACCCCGTTCCCCCCACATCATGATGATCTTATATCTCAAAGACTCAACTGATCGATACTCCCCACCCGCCCGCTCCCGCCAAGCCGCCCCCCACCCTTCGTAACCATGCCGAGCCGATAGAAGCGCTCTTCGCCAGCGGGCGTCCTCCCACCAATGTACCACTTCTCCGGACCGATGGCATCGCGGAACCCGCCCGAGCCACTGGAAGAATCACTCCCGCGGCGCTGGCGGTCTGCTGTGCCACGATTAATCGGGATGGGAGTCGAGGTGGATGATGGTGGTGTGGAGGGGAGAGATGGTTGGTCGTGGTGGTAGTGGTGTGAAGGGGATGGACTTGGGCCTTGGACTTGGCCGGCTGGTGCTGTAGTTGAGGCGGAAGAGGATGTGTGGGTGTGGTGGTGATTGTGGTGGTTGTGATTGTGATTATGGTGGGCTGCGGCAGAAGCAGACGATGGTGCTGATGAGCCTTGGGCTGAGTTGGCTGCTTTTGTTGCGATGGCGCGGGCACTCTGGGAGATCTGGGCGGAGGAGAGGGTTGAGGTTGTGGCGCCGACTTGCTGGGCGGGCTTATAAGTTGACTGGGCGCGGAAGGCAGCCAGGAAGTTGGCGAGGAATGGACGGTTGTTGGACATGATTAGACAGGGAGAGGATTCACCTGCTGTTGATTTTGATTATGGAATGTGAAGATGTAGAATAGGAGAAGTCTGAGAGTGCCCGATCTCAAGTTCCCGATCCCACGGGCGCTCCAATCACGGGCGGTGGATTATGGTTATGACGTTACGTAGGAAGATCCCGGAGACGTTATATCCATTTCTCCGCTACTCCGCTACATCTTGTATATACAACGCATAAATTGAAGTATAAATTGAAGTACCTTGTGAACTTCTTCCCCAAGGCACCCCAGCTTCCCCAGATACTGGCACGTCAAATGGATCATAAGTCTATTTCTAGCTGCTTTTCTAGTAAATCCTGAGAATAAAACAAACACCTTAAATCACACCTCAAGGAATTCCCAAAGCATACATATGTCCTGCCATGCCGACTTTACATGAGAAAAGAGGCCATGCGATGCAGAAGAAAAAACGAGAAAGGAAAAGATAAAAGCACATGGCAAAAAATGGACTGCAAGAATGAAAGAAACATGGCAATTCGACAACAACCATCCCATAAAAAAGAGAATGTAAGAAAAAAAAGCTTTTCTCCTTTCTGATGTCGAGCACTCGCGCAAAAGATGAACACATGCCCATGTCTATGTTGTGGACGCCGAACAAACCACCATACCATCTGCCCCTCACATCGGGGGTTCAAGATAAAAGATAACCAGACTCGCAAACCACTTAAGAATGCACACCCACACCGGATGGGATCAGAATAGAAAAGAAAAAAAGATAGATCGACAAACGAGGAACGGGAGACGCTGGGAACACGAACCACCGCAAGCTGAAAGCCGCAAGTGAACGGATCAAAGGACTACCGTAAACAGATTTGTTGAAACATCGTGACCAGTGGATTTGCACCAGCGGAGAAGCCAGGGACGAAGCCCTAGAAACAATAGAAGAGAGGGTGGAGAGCAATAGTCCTACCCACGGCGTGAAGAAGAGAGGAACCTTTTGTGGTATTTTACTTCGTCAAAACGCTTTTTCAATCTTATGCCTAGGCATCATCTTGCTTTCCGAATTCACCGTCTATTGTCTCGCGGGCTGTACACTACCTGCATATTTTTTGTTAGAAACCGATATCATAATTAACGGGATAAAAACTAACCGTCTCCGCTCAGCGTAGTCGAGGCAAGGTACAGTCCGTTCATACCGCTCTCAGGACCGGTCGAGGCAGGGTAGTACTTGCGGTCGTGGTCGACGGGAGCGTGGATCGGCTCCTGGCCCGCGGCCATGGAGTGGGGAAAACCGGGGTTAATGTAACCGTCGGAGGAACCGTGCTGAAACATCGAATTCCAGTCAACACCCGGGTGATGTGAGTGGGGACCGGGCATGACCGGCTTGTGGTCATGGTAAACCGGGGGCTTTACCTGTTCAAGGGGACGATCACCCGTCAGCTGCTGGCCATGAGCATCGACACCAGGCTGCATGAGATACGGGTTCTGCTTAGGTCCAGCCATCCACGAGGCTCTCGCGTGCGCCTGGCCAGCGGAGAACGCGTCGTCACCGGGACCACGGTTCATGCCGTTGACAGACTGCATCGTGAAACCGAGCGGCTGCTGCTCCCCGTAGCTAGGACGACCTGTGGCCATTCCATTGCCATTCACGGCCCCATCGTATTGCGTACCCATAACGCCATTGGAGTGGGGGACGGGATTACTGACTTCATCCTGGAGCGGCTTAGGGGGATTGGCCGCGGCAGCCGCAGCTGCTTGCTGCTGAGACCGCTTCAGATGGGCCTGCGGGTGGGACAAGTGGGTCGCTCCGGTCGGGTTACCCCGTCGGATCGAGCATTTTTGGAAGTGACGCTTCAAGATATCACTGCGGGAGAAAGTGTCCTTACATAGGACACACATGTAAGGGCGATCACCAGTGTCTGTACAAATCAGACAGTCAGCACATCTCGTCTTAAGGGAACTTTTGGTTTTTTTTTTTTCTTCGTTCTACCGAAAACTTACGTCTCAACAAATGGCGCTTGAGGTGCTTAGCGTGGAGGTAAGTCTTGTTACAGTGCGGACAGGGGAATTTGCCATCCGCGTCCTTTGCGGGAATCGTCGTGCTCTTAGCTGTACCATTGACACCGTTCGAAACCGGAGTCGCGCGGCCCGGGACACTCGGCAAAATGCCACGGCGGCCCTGAGAGCCCACGACCTGCGTGCGTGGCGGTTCCTTGGCGTAGGGGGAGCCGTTCGCGCCATTCACATCAGGAGTCATACCCCAACCCTTGCCGTCGGAGTAACTAAAGGCACCGGACGGAAGACCATTGAAATCCGGGCGGCGATCGCGGGGGGTGCCGGAGCAATCGGCTGAGGGTAGCTCTGAGCGGAGGATGCGGGCGGAAGGACACTCGGAGGTGGGGGGTACTGCTGATGCGCCTGTGTTTGAGGGTTAGGAAGATTCAACAGAGACGATGGCGGAAGGCTACCGACAGTCGTGTGCGGCATCATCGGGGCCTGGGAAGCCCCGTAGACATCGTGAGTTGACGGGGGGTACCGCGACAAGTCCGGACGGTACGGCTGCCCCATGTAGTGGTGAGGCGCGGGAGACTGAGGGTGGTGCGGCTGCAATGGAGGCAGAGTATGCGGCTGCGAAACCGGATACTGCGGCTGCATCGAGTATTGTGGGATATGCATGCTCGAGATGGGAGTCGAAGACATGGGCGTGGAGCCGGGAGGCAGACTGGTGGATGGAGGACGGGAAGGGTGAGATCTGGGATCCATTGTGGACAGAGGAGGGAGATCGTGTAGAAAAGAAAGAAAGGATGTTGGTTCACGGTAACTCAATCATCAACCCTGCACTCTGGATGATTTTTTTTTTCTTTGAAGGAAAGGAAGCTCCTTGTTTGAAAATTTTCCTGCGAACAAGAAAGACAAGAGGCAAACGGTCACAGGGTCTCACGGGATTCACGGGATTCAGACTGAGCTGACTCCACACGAAGAGAGAAAGGAAGAAAGAGATGCTTAATTGAAGAAGATTCCCCACGGTCACCCACTAGGAAGAAAAAAATAGGATGGTGATTTATCCGCACGTTGTGACAACCACCGTCGATGGTTCTGTATCCACCGAAGAAGCGGGCGTACAAGTGGGTCTCTCTCTCGCAGCAAAAACAACTAGTCCGAGATCTGCTTCGCGTCAAGGTAATCCTTGAGATCGAGGAATTGAGCCAATAGAATGGAAGTATCTTAAAGAATGGAATAGAGGAATTGAAGGGATCGGGAACAGGGAATTGAGTGATTGAAGATTTGAGGATTGAGAATTGGGAATTGGGGGAAATTGGGGAGGAAAAGAGAAAATGGGGGATAAGTTTCTTGGTAAAGACGAAAAGGAAAATTGGAAAATTCTAAGGAAGACCGGATCGAAAAAAAGGAAAAAGAAAAAAAAAGACCGAAAAGACGAGAAAAGACGAAAAAAGACGATCGTTCCTCGGGGAGGCAAGAGGCGACAGACGAAAAAGAAAATGCGAAAAAAGGAAATGACACGTAATTACCGTATTTTTGCAATTGCCAGTTCCAAATTTACACGGCCGTCTTCCGAAGTATGGCCGATAGCGGTAGGGACGTATTAGGATTGTTGGGATAGATAGTTTAGATATTGAATATTATATTATTTGGATTGGATTTAGAATAACAAGAATAGCGAATAACTAGCAGAATAACTTTACACATAGACACATAGACACGTACTTCAGACACATAGCCATATCTCATTTCTGAT